TCGTTTGCGCATCAAGTATGAACGCGTTCAAGAACAGACTAGATAAAGCTATGGAAAAATATATGTTCAGATTTGAAATGCCTAGCTCCTTATCGAACCCAGTGGAAGTCTAGTAGCTACTTCAAACTATCGTCAGTCATGAAAAGATCCGGTCAAATAACACGATTTTAGATCTTCTATGAACAAGGCACGAAAAGGAAAAAAATCGGCGACAGGCCACATCAGGCCTACACTTCAGCGCCGACATCACTATGTTATGTTATGTTATGTTATTACTTAGAACGTATTCAGATTACAAAAAATCATTTATTCTGCAATTGATTTTTAGCGACACCTATTTAACGATAAGTGAAGCGATACCTATTTTTCACTAGTCAGGGTCTAGTTTTAATCACTTTTTATGGAGTTCACAAGACCAGACATGAAATTTCATTAAGTAAATGGACGCAAAATTTGCTTTAAATGTTTTATGTTCCTTGGACGTTTCATAACATTCTCTATCGAATTTTTTTCTGATTTTCTATTATTAAAATTTTTATAAAAATTAGTATTAAACATACTATTAAAACCCATATAGATAATATTATAGAAATTATTATAAATATTATTATTGGAAATATTGATAGTATGAATATAAATTTTAATATAATTATAATTGTAATATAATCATTGAATTTTTATTAGATATGTTTTTATTACTATATATATTAGATAGATTATTATTACTATTAGTATTACTATATATATTATTATTGATTAGTATTTAAAATATTATTGAAATTCTTAATAATATTATTATTGAAATAATTTCTATAATAATTTTAACATGTATTCAAATATTAATTTTAATAATAAATTCAATTGCATTGTCCTATCAAAACTATCAAGCACTTTAGTAATCTGGAGTGATGTAACTTTCAGTAAAAAAAACGGGACATCACATTGCTTAATAAATCGTTGCGCTCTATGCTTAGGGTTAGGTATGTTGATAATAAGTCCCTTGACATGCACTAGCGAATTATATAGGCAGTCGAAAATTTAAAACTCGACGATATGTTCAGATTTCAACTGTAAAAATTCATGAATATAGCACTTTGTCATGATGAATGTCTTTTTAAATCTGCTAAGTAAAGTTTCGAAAATTCGATACCAACTTTTTATGTTTTCTGGACATTTCAGAAGATTCTCTATCGATTAGTTCGATCGAGAAGTGAACTTTTCTGTGACCCGAATATATGGGTCCGGGTTTTACTCGCTTGGTCCGGGGCTCCCCGGACCTGAAGTGAAATTTTTCTAAGTAAATTTTCGAAAATTCGATACCAACTTTTTAAATTTCAAAACATTTGAAGCATGCAGAGCGTACTCACTACTCATCCATTACTAACAGTATTCTGAAGTCCTTCTCTTTCATTGTAGATGATGTAGAGGTAGAATAAATGACATTTTCTGTGATTTTTACTTGTTTTTTCTTTATTGATATGATATTGCCATATACATTAATTACCATATTATTGATGTGCAATTATCGTATTATTGATGCGATATTACCATATCCATGAACATGCCATTGAGCATTTACATCAACCTTGTCCACTGCAAGCTTCATATCAGCAGCCTTATAGCATTTTTTTCGTATCTGCAAGCTTACAGGACGGCTCGTAATTTCACATCATTTTAATTGGGTTAAGTGAATTTACTATAGTAAAAAAGATCGTGAAAAACATACCTGAAACAGAAAGGAATGTTTCAGTGACAACCAACGTATCTTTTGGAGAAATAAATCATAGTTTAGGTGAATTACTTTTTATTCTGTGATGCCTGGTGCACAATTCTATACATGACATGCTATGCACAATTTTGTGATGACCGATGATGCACTAATTTTTCGACAAGTGAAATTTTTTTTGCTGAGCAAGGAAAATGTGATCAATATTCCTTGTTTCTAATAAATTTTTTTCGTAATTGGAGCCTTTGCTAACTGAGGTTCTACCGTAAATGCATTTTTGGGGGTGTCCCGAATAGCCCCGGGGGGAAAATGGGGAATGGGTAGACCGACTGAGTAGCCCCAACCAACGGGGCTACTCGGGACAATCTTTATTTTGCGTCTGCCGTCTGGCACCTTAGGAATAGCATATGGAATTTTTTTGACAATACCATTCCATAGCCCTGGCAAAGAGCTATAAAATGAGCTTAAATTTGTTTATGAAGTGTTTCATAGTAAGAAGTTATTAACAATTATTAACAAAAAAACAATCAAATCTGTCAGGAGTAGCCCAGGTTGATGGTACTCTTTCAAACATTCACACTCTCACTTTTCACACTTTTTTTTCATGGATTTTTTAGAGGTAGCCTAATAAATGTGCAATTTCTCAACTTGCCCTATGGCGCCTCATGCTACACCCTGCCAGTTGCCACTGGCAGCCACCTTGGCTGCCTCAGCCTGCCTGGCAGTCTGGCACCCTAGGCTACAGGGCCTACACCTACAGACCACACAGATAGGAAAATAGTTGAATTTTACACAGATAGGAATTTATTTTTAGTTTTGCAATATTCTAATTAGTTTAGTTGCTTCACTATTTCTACAAAATGTTTGAGGACTGTCCCGAGTCACTCCCAACTACCAATTTACTCTGCCCATCCCTTATTGCTCTGTTTGATGGTTTAGATGTTGGAGTTTGGAGTATGGTTGTAAGTTGTTTAGGTAGCTACACAGACTGTCAGCAACTCACATCTCTTCATCTCACAAGTCACAGCAAGTCCAAAGTCCTCCCTCAAGAAGTGCCTCCCAGGCAGTGTCACTGTGGGTGTGGCACTGTCATAATGTCATTGCCATCGGCATCTGTTTAATTCGGAAGTGATAGGTCTTAGACCTTTCAAATTTTTAGCGTTTTTATGTAAAATACTGAATGGTAAAGTATATTACTACTAGTCTACTACAGCCTAGGTAAGGATGGAATATGGATCAGTCAGGATATATAATAATGGCATTTTGGCAGGCCATTTTTTTTTTTTAATTGAATTATTAGGCTTCGGGTATGTAGAAAACACACCTCCCAGCCTGAGCACTAATTGAATTTTGATTTGAGTCACTTCACTCCAGACTTATTTTCTATTCTTGCCTCTTTGCGTTTGAATGCATCACTTCCACATGTTTCACCAGAGCAATGTGGCAGTACATTGTTGAAAGAAGACCGATAAATAAAAAAATTGGAGGGGGTACTCCGACAGGCTTTAGATAATAGCTCTTTTTCATGGGTCACATTATTAATTTTTTAACCTATTAGATATGCAAACTTTTTAAATCTTTCTATTGTGTTACGTAGCCTCAGTATTAGGCCTTTGAATACATTTGACAAAATTGTTCTAAGTCAAATCATTTTTGAGTTTTGGGGGTTTTTGTTAAAAAAATGAAAAGTGGTCAAAGTTACCCCACCCGGCCCGCCGGTCAAAGTACCTAACCCCATTTTATGGTACATCCACTCTCTGCACAGTGGAATGAGTGGATCTAGGCTAATCTAAGTTGGACTTGGACATTCCTAAAACCCCAAATTACCAAGGTAATTTAAAATGAATATCTTATTGCACCATGTTACCTCACATCAAATTGCAAAAGAGCTTTCACTAGCTCACTAGTTCAATTTTTACCAGTGACAGCAGAAGTATTAGATATATATACTTAAGCTGTTTGTAGATAGGATAGGTACAATAGAAGTTGAATCACAATGCTGCTATATTGAATAATTCAACACTAACAGTGGCGTTGACTCAATGTTGAATATGAATCATTCAACAGAGCAGGAGCCTCAAGCCTTCAACAACTTACCTGGCTCCACTCCAACTTCAAGGGCACTTTCTGCTTTCTGGCATTTGGCAATAGTGGCATATCATTTTTCACTGTAGCACTAGTAGTAGTAGGATGTGGTTCTGTTCCAAGAAAGGCTGCAACTGTGAGGTAGTGAGATTTTCTGTTGTTGGGTCAGCTCCCCTGGTCCTGGGAATAAGGATCAATCAATATTCAAGTCCGCCGCACTCGACATGCCTTCTTGGCAAGTTGGCTTCTTTGATCAAAAGTTTGGTGGTACCTATTCGCTTTCCTACACGGTTGGATAAACTAGAAGTTTTCACGTGAGTCGATTGCACAATCTAATTTGTAGTACAATCCGGAATAGTCGATTTCAGAGCAGGAGCTAGGTTCAAGATTGACCACTCATTATCACAGTTCAAACGAGACTACAGGAAACATCGTCTTCCGTCTTGCCTATTCTTCCTCCTGGGCCCTGGCACAGCAGGCTCTGATAGCATACGGAAGTGCCGAGTCCGTTTCCAAATCTAAATAATATAAAAAGTTACACTTCCTGCTCTCCACTAAAAATGGCTTATTTTAAAAGGAACAATTTAGTTTTAGAAATATTGAAGAAAATAATTTATTATAGAAGGAAAATTTCTCAACTCTATTCTATGGGCCAAAAATATTACAGCGATCTCAAAAATGAATAAAAATCATAATAAAATGAATTTGAAGGAAAGGATCAAATAAATCTTCGAAATCTATTGGAATTTACCGTGAATTGGAATTTCGTTACTTCAGTGAATGTAACATATTATTTGATGTTTGTTTCTTGCACATCTATTAGGACGGCAGGTAAGGTTTCATCTTCTAAAATGTTTCATTGCCATGTATCGTGTCTAACTAAATGAATAACTAGGGTAAAAGGTTGAATGCCAATATACATCACTGAAATTTATTCGGTCAATGCAAGTGCATCGTACTGCAGTGACAAAATCGGGGAAACTAGACCTTCAAATCGGGTTTTCCAGCTCTAGCACCCAAGCGGCAAGGTTGGCGAGGTTGCTGGTACTAATAACAGAACCTGATAAATAAACTAGCTAAAGACTTCAATGCAAGCCTCAGAGCATTCGCTCATGTCCGCTACAGAATATAATAAAATAGAAATACAAGGACTAAAATTCTACAAACAACATTAGGGATGATGCAAGAGTAAAGTAGCAAATTTATTCAATCACAAACATTTTATTATCTATTTACAATCACAGATAGATGGCTTTATGCACTATGTACGAGTAGTTAATGCAGAGTAAAAAAACATCGTAATTACAATAATTCCAGCAACATTTTAGCTTTGCTGCTCTAATTAATCATCATATGCAATGGAATATGCCAAACTCACGAGAGGTCATTTGGCAGCGAACGTCAATTAACGTGTTTGGACTATTCAATATTTTGGTTTACTTGCGTGCTGATCATCGAAAACAGGATTCTGACAGAGATCAGGCTGGTGGGTGCCTTTGTCACCACAAGTCTTACCCCCAAATATAAAAAAAATCTTAAACAGTCTTAGTTAACGAATTTGGTTCGTTTTTTTTTTTTTTTTATACTCGGTGATCATTCACCCGCTGAATTTAACGTAATTTTTAGAACACGCGACACTTGAGAGTTAAAGACTTCCTCTCAGCAGATCAAGATACGCCATAACTCACATAACTTCCGAAGTTCCGAGGGCGTCGCATAACATAATTATGTTTTTTAACCATAAAATTTGACACAGATACATAACAGATATCGACGTCAATCATGAAGCACGATGCATCAGATGTCATCATTGTCTGGTTTGATGACAGCACCGCCCTTTTCTAACCAGTCTTCAAAGGAGCCACGATACCTCCTGAAATAATTCAGAATTAAATTTTTAGACGAGTTTAATGTGTTCAGTATTTTTTCTCCAATGTATGAACATAGAGAACAGTGATTGTGTGTATTCTCAATACGAGTTCATCGCGAGAGGAACCAACTTATTTCAAACCATTTCACAGATCAAGCGCGTCAAGTATGAAGTTTTGTAATTAACAAAACATAGAAGTCATTCATCAGTCTCTGATCCATAGCATTCACGTATAAAAAATATATCTTGCTACGAAGTATTCAAATCAGGTGCTGTGCTTTGCAACTCATTTAAACACACGTTGCTGCCTAAGTACACGTAGCGGCCAAAGTGGACGCAGCGGCCACATGAGATGTAGCAACCCCAGTAGACGTAGTGTCCCAAGTACACGTAGCGGCCAAAGTACACGTAGCAGTCCAGACGGACATATATAGTAGTCTTGGCAGACACAGCGACCAAGTCCACATAACGGCCAATTCATCGTATGCAATTGACGAGTTTATCTTATGATAGTTATGAACTCAACTGCATTTTACACTTAATAATATTTGCCAGATCTAGGTACATACCTAACGTTGGTGTAGCCGGCACCAATGAGAGCGAGCTGAGCAGTGCGTGCCCTCACACCAGCCATGCACATCGTCGCAATGGGGGCATCAGAGTCAGGCTTTTTTATGCCCATGCGAACCTCGAAATCTTCTTTTGGCAATAGAATCGTTTGTCCCAACGTTCGCACTACAAGAAGAGAGAACACTTCAAGCCAAATGCGAATTAATATAAATAAACTTATAGAGATAAAGTATCAGGTGTAGCCTGTAGCCTGTAGGTGTCACACTGAATCATTAAATAAGAACACTCACACGGCAAGTTGATGGCATCAGGAACAGCACCAAGTTTCTCCAGTTCACTTGGCGCTCTCACATCAATAAGGATCACATCTTCCTTCTCAAGGCGATCTCTAAGCTCAGTGAAGTCAATGTCTGTTGGCAAAATATATGTTAGGTACTACTTAGAAAAGAGCTGAAATTTCTCAAAATGTGATGAAAATATATCCATTCATTCACAGCATTTACTCCTCAGTTGATTCATCAGGTAGCATCACTCTGGTTCATTGGAAAATAGAAAATCCCACATTTTTACTTTAGATAGAAGAGCCAGGAATTATTTATACATACCGTATATAATGGTAAACTATACAATAATTTAATTTTACAGTTTTTTTTAATGGTTTCTTTACCATTCAAACGGGACAGGAGATATTATGTTGTGTACACAGCAGGCAGGTGATAGTCAGTGGCAGGACAAGTTAGCCTCAGACATAAACCAGGGAATGTGTGGGGCCAGTTTAACACAAGACTAAATTAACATACAGCATCACTTGGTTTTGAAAAGATAAAAAAGATGTACTAATGTTGACAGAATGCAATAGTAATGTAAATTTAACATTGAAGAAGATGAATAGATAAACTATCATATCCTTTAAATTTAAAAAGAATGATGAGTCACACAAAAGGTAATTTCCTCAGGTGAAAATGCAAGAAGTTGAAGCTTGAAAGCAATTGCAATTTGTATCACACCCCATACCAATTAATAATTCTTGCTGTGAGAATTTTTTTACTAAGTTCCTTAAATTGCTTGAAATTTTATCTTGAATTAAGAGCGATTAGTACTACATTTTTTTAAAAGTGATCATATATTTTGAGGTTGAACTGTGATTTAATTATGACTACCTAATCTTGATATTATTAATTAATTTGACAAACTAATCATCAGTTTAATGAGGTTCTTAATTTACACTTTCATGGGTTTTCTGATTATACTCAGAGTGTTGTTGAGGATTTGGTTTCACAATGGTTTGTTTGCTCCATGCATCCTATTGCTGTCATATAAGAATACCTATATTCAGGAGCTGGAGCATATCAGTGTCAGTAATAAATTACTATCCTTCTCCTTTTAATATTTCAAATGACATTGTGGTTATGACAGCCCTGAGTACCTGTGAGAAGATACATGATGTGGAAGGACTTGGAAGCTGATGGTACATTTCTCATGTAACATGGTAGCTAGCTCAGTTGTTACTAACCATAGCATGAACCATAGAAAACATCATATGATTTCAGGATTTCTGGTCAAGTTACCATTTATCACACACCCAGGATTGCAAAGAGCTGGGAACAGCCAAGGCAATGAAGGCCAATTTATTAGAACTCACTCACCACTCACCAGGAAGAAGCTGTGGATGTGGCGGTGGTCCACTGTGCACTTTCAATGCTGACACTGCCTTAAAATAAACAGGGAGGCTATTTTGGAATACAGCAACTCTTCTTAATGATACAAACATCATTGCCATTTCTACCTAAAAAGTGGAATAAATAAGAAGCATAAGGTTTTTTAGTTTCACGGCAATAATATATGAATAAAGCAATGAGAGGGTCCATTTAATGACCACTTTCACAAGTGGAAACTTGTGGGTCTGGTTGATGACTGTAACTGACCTCACACAAGACCCAGTTCACATGTCAACATAACATTCTAAGATTCAGGTCTCTCTTGGAGCATTCTACAGCTGTCAAAAAGTGGCAATGCAGTTCATATAATCTAGTATAATGTACCTATAACAAAGTATCCAGTTTGCCAGGTTCTGAGAGAAACTTCATTGCCACCCTGAATACCAGGTGCTGCTAGTCAATATGAGGACAATATTGCCATCTCTCAAGGTAAAATACAGCCTATACAGGCTGGTCCACATTCAACCTTTAGATTGAGCTGGTCTCCAAATGTTAGAACCAAGCAATGTGCTGACTATCAGTGTTATGATGCTCATTCTCAACCAGGTCCATTCCTCACATAAGCATGCATCATTTCACCAGCCATCCATGGGTGAGGTGGGCGATGAATTTGTCAAAATTGCAAATTCAATTCAATGGTAAGGCAAATTAGGACTAACTTTGATATACTATATAACTAAATTTTACAAATAATAGATCTCTAAAAGGATGCAGACAACTGCAGTTTCTTAAAATAAGCCTATTTATACATTTTATGTGCAAGCCAGTGACAATAGCATTAGATATGCTGTTCTTTCTATAAATATATATAGAGGGGTTAGACATAATAAGGGAAACACCTGATATTTTGATACCACAGTTTTTGAAAATGTTATAAATAATGAACACATGATATATTTTCATATTTTATTTATTGTTGCTGCTAATGGATATTTTATCCTTGCACAGATATTTTTAGTAAATTTTTGTGTCCATAACCTAACATATAACCTATAAATGGCAAACCTCTCTGACTTTTGATAAGGCCAGATTGTTGGTTCCCCATGCCCATATGGCAGGTGCTAGAGTGATGAAAACTTCCCCAATGCTCGACTTTTCTAGAGGTACCTACTGTCTCAAAAGTAATAACTGCTTTTGGAAGAGAAGGATAAAAACATCCTCAGCAAAGCACAGGTCTGGCCAAAAGTTGTCTGACTACTTAATTGGATTGGTTGGTACCTATATTGAATTATGAGGGACAATCATAGCACCATGGCAGTAAAAGTTCCAGCAGACCTCAATGGAGACCTACAATACCTAGTTTATATAGACTACAAACACTGTCCACTAAGAGCTACACAGATCTGGATTCTATGAAAAAAACTGCAATTAGAAAACCTCTGGTTTGAAATACAAATGCTTCAAAGCATTTAGTGGTGTAAATACTTTCAGAATTGATCCCTTGAGCAGTGGAGAAAAGTTATTTTCTCTGACAAATTGCTGTTTACTAGTACCTAACTTATTTCCAACCTCTTGCCAAGTTTACATCTGGAGACACTAGACAGCTGAAAGAGTCATTTACTCCCAACTTCCTCCTCCCAACTATAAAACAAGAAAGGGGATCTGTGATGATCTGGGGTGACATTTCTTGGAAATCTAGTGGACCAATGATTTTTCTTCATGGAAGAATCAACAGCCATGACTATCTAGGAATTTTGGAGGACCAAGTTCATCCAATGGTTCAAGCACTGTTCCCAGAAGGAAATGCCTTCTTTCTAGTTGATAATGCCCTGATCCATTTGGCTAGAATTGTTAAAAAAATGGCTTGAGGAACATTCTAATCAAGTTGAGCATCACATTTGGCCACCACATTCACCAAGCCTGAATATTATTGAGCATTTATGTTTGATTTTAGAGACACAAGTCAAAATAAGATTCCTCTCACCATCATCTTTAAAAGAGCTATATGAAGTTTTAAATGAAGTATACATATACGGGTTAAATCATTTGGAAAGAGTTCACAATTTGAATAAATCAATACCTAGTAGAAATAAGGCTGTAGTTACCTAAAAAGTGGACCTACACCATACTGTCAACCGGGGCTACTCGGTACAGATATGATCGTTTTTTTGTTAATAGCTGTTAATAACTTCTTACGATGAAACATTTCATAAACAAATTTAGGCTCATTTTATAGCTCTTTGCGAGGGCTATCGAATGGCATTGTCAAAAACACTCCATATGCTATTCGTAAGGTGCCAGACGTAAAATAAAGATTGTCCCAAGTAGCCCCGTCAGTTGGGGCTACTCGTGACAATGGGTTCTGTTCTGTTCTTCGATATGTTAACGGAGTGCTGCGCGTTGGACGATTCACTCCGGAAGCAGCAGTTTGTCAACGATTAGGGGTCAAAACGGTGAGTTGAACTGATGAAGTTTTCCACGGCTCTGCAGGTCTGGGGCCAGGTAGGGCTGCTGGTGGTATCTCCTCCCAGTAGGGTTCCAAGACTGAGTACAAGTATCCCCTGGGAGTTTATCTGACATCGCAGTTGGGAGCGGGCTTCAGCGAACTCTGTGCAGACTATGAGATAGTGATGTGCTGTTTCTGGCACTTGGCACGAAGGGCAGAGTGGTGATGGGGCTTGGCGAATCTGGAAGAGAGACTTGTTTAGTGGAGCAGTGCCGAGTCGTAGTCGGGCAAAGAGGGTCTCGAATCTGCGAGTCTGCAGCATGTGATGAGCCCATGGGTGAACTGATGGCTTGATCATTCCCAGAGCAAACTGTCCTCGGATTGATGTCCACTTCGCTTGCCAAAATTTCCAGATGTTACGATGTACCACTGACTTCAGCTCGGAGAAGTCAAAAGGGACTTGTGCTGTTTGGTCTGCAGACGTGGCTGCATGCTTGGCGGCTTTATCCGCTGCCTCGTTCCCGTGCAGACCCGCGTGACTAGGTACCCACTGTAAGTGAACTGCTCCTGTTGGCAACAGATGAAGGTGCGCTTGAATGGTGGCCACGAGCTGAGTGTAGCTGCTGGGGAATGCTTGCTGAAGAAGCTGTAGTGATGAACGGCTATCCGTGCAAATAACTGCAGGCAGTGTGCGGTTGGCGGCTAAGTATTTCAAGGCTTGGAGGATACCGTAAAGTTCAGCTGCAACGATTGTGTGGCTGGGGTCAAGGCGCCATCCTCTGATGTGAGACAAGGATGGGATTACCATTGCCGAGCCTACAGATTGTGAGGGTCCTGCTGATACGGAGCCGTCGGTGAAGATGTGGCAAAATCCCGGGAATCGAGTGGCGCATATGTCGCTGAAGATAGCTGTTGCTGCTCCATCCACCTCTTGATAGGACTGATTTGAGAAGTCGAGGTGTATCACTGGAGTGAGGGCACTCCATGGTGGGAGGTCTGTGATGAGTGGAGAAGGCGAGGAGGCCGGAAGGGCTATCTGGAGTCTGGAAAGAATATCCAGAGCTCGTGAGAGTAGCGGTAATTTGTGGAGACGGGTGCGAAATGGTGCTATGCGGAGGTATCTGTCGCGGTGGTAGAGAGCATGCACTGGGTGGGCTGGGTGACGGCTCAGAAGCTGCAGGTAGAACAAGGCTATGCTGCGATTTCGGTGAATTTCTGGCGGAAGCAGCCCTGCTTCGCAGTATAGCGAGGGCAGGGGGGTAGATCTCCATGAACCTACGATCAGGCGTGCTGCAGTGGAGTGGACAACGTCCAGTCTTGATAGAAGAGTTGGCGATGCAGAAGAGTAGATAGGAAGTCCGTAGTCTGTGTATCCTCTGATGTAGGTCTGGTAAAAACGTAAGAGAGTCACTCGCGAGCCACCAAAGTTGGTTCCACTCAGGACCTTCAGTATATTCAGACGTTTCTGGCAACGGGTTAGAAGGTTGTTTATGTGCTCCTTCCAAGTCAGAGTAGGCGCATCCAAGGTAAGCCCCAAAAGGCAGTGGTGACGGGTCATTCGAATGGGAATGTCTGCAATGTGTAGGAGCGGGAGAGGTTGGACATTTCGCTTTCGTGTAAATATTTGGAAAGCTGATTTGGCAGGATTTAGTGTCAATGACCAGCTGCTCACCCAGGCTACAAATACGTCTATGGCCTGCTGCAGCCTAAGTCCCGCCTCTGCTACAGTGTCAGCCACAACATACATTGTGATGTCATCTGCGTATACTGCAGTGTTTACACCTGGGAAAGAAGNGCCAAAGAATAAGTCCAATACTGAACCCGTACCCGAGTGAGGGTCTATGCGAGTGGGAAAGCCAGGAGTATTGAGGAGCAGAAGAGGCGACTTGCTGATGGCATTAAATAGTGAGATGCCGGCATAGTTTTGTTTGGCATTTGAACCACCCCACAGAGGGTGGTGGGCATTAAAGTCACCGCAGATCATGTCATTTGGCCCTACAAGTGAAATATAATGTTCAAATGCAGCCTGGGTGACGGGGGAGCAGGGGTTGTAAAATAGAAAGATTTTAGACCATGAATTCCGGTGTGCAATCTCCACCGCCAGGCTTTGCATCTGGCCATCACGGTATGCATCCAATGCTACTGCTTTTTGTTGTAGCTGTGCTCCAACCAACACCAGAAGTCCCCCAAAGCCATCCCCTCTATCCTGTCGGTAGGTGACATATCCTGGGAATCGCGGAGAGTGCCTTTCCTGTAGGTGCGTTTCTGTGATGCAGACCACGGTAGGGGTTGAATGGGACAGAAAAAGCTTTAGTTCAGATAGTTTTGTCATTAGCCCCCGGGCATTCCAGAGAAACACTGACTGAATAGGCATTAGGATGACGACAGCTGGCTAATCAGTGAGGCAAGAAGAGGCTGGAACATTGCGGATAGTGGACTGTCAGAAGCGGATAAGTATTCTGAGAGGGAGTGTAAACAGCGAACAAAAAGTGATTTGAAAAAGTTTGCCAGGAGATCAACAAATGAGGATTTTGTTATGGGTTCTTCTGGTTGGTTGGTAGCAGGGGGTGCCGTGAAGTTTTGTGAGAGTTGAGGCAGCGGTGAGAGTTGAGGCAGCGACAAAAGATCTGTAGAGTCAGACCAGAGATCACCGCTTAGGATACGTTGGTATTCTTCAGACATGTGCGGTGGGGTAGGAGAGCCTGGGTTTTTT